CGAGTGTCTAAGGCACATAATAACCTCCCCCCATTATTGGTTGGCCACATGTTTCCTCACGTAGTTTTTTGCCATGCGCAGAATAACAGTGGTGTTTTTGTTTGTGTGTAGAATGCTGCCAGTCCATGGCTCCATAAGACTGCTGCTGCTGACAGTTTGGGAATGCTGAGCCACGTTCCTGTCCGGCCAGCCAGCGCCGATGCCCACCGCCCTCCCGTCAAGATCGCCCACACGAGCCCTCCGTTGTCAAAGACCAGCATGGATCTTCATAAAGAGTAAGCAGAAAGATCAGTGCTGTAGTTAAAGCTGCACCGTCGCTCTGTCACCAAACCCGCGTTAATACTGATGAAACCTGGAATCATTGTTTCTCTGCATTTCAGTGGAAACTGAAAATATGAACTTGTGAAAACAAAGAGCTGCTGATGTTTGATGGGTTACACCCTGCAACACCAGATGAATGACACAGACCGACAGTCCCACAGCAGCTGATTTGTGTTTCCCTCTGTGTTTGTGTCCTATGGAGGGAAAAGCTCAAAACGTTAGAGGTGATGGCGAGGTAAATCAGGCTCAACTTCTACAGATCAGAGGACAGATTATGGATGGTTGGATCAAGTGTTGACTTAAAAACACTTAATTAACATAAAGATCGTAGTTTGGCCACGTTGCCATTGTGACTTGTTGTTATTGAAGAGTGGAGAAAATCCACGCTGAGGAAAAGAACTACTTCCTGTCAAACCAGACGGTCTCGCAGGTCACGGTACTCTAAGGAGTCTTTAAGTTTCTTCATTCTCCGTACAACACAAATGTTTGTGTTTCACTTCTTACTGAACCTCACACATGAAATGAAAACGTGCACTGAGGGGAAGCAGGAAATTCTTTGGTGGCTTCAATATGCATTAAAAAGTTAACTACTGTGGGTAAAAAGAAGCACAAAATATAGGAGCCGCTGAATATTTGCTTTGGACATTTGAACTCCTCTTTGCTTCAAAAGCTCCGTGTTCAGAGAGCTCTCACAGAGCAGACCTGAGGTGGCTCTGAGCTGCAGGGAATACCTCAGATGAAGTGGCACTAACGCCGTACTGAAGCTGTCATGAACCGTAGTTCAGCACACAAGCTGGACCCAGAAGCAGAGACACACGCCAGGGTGCACGCAAAAAACTTTATTTTAACTAAGGGTGTCCCGGAAGGGTCAAAGGAAAACACGCCAGGTAACTAGAAAACCAAGGGACCGGGAAATAACTCAGGAACGCCGTAATCGGGACTGTGGGAGACAGAAAGAGGAAGAGGGTTACTGGGGAACGGAGAAATAACAGCATACGTGGGTAGAGAATTAATCTTACGGTCCAGACGGGACCGTGGGAACCGGAGGGAGGGCTGAGGGTCCGCGGGGAAACTCCAGGTGAATAGAGGAGACGAGTGCCGGTAGTGATCCAAAAACTCCAGGCGGGCAGGAGAGGGCTCCAAACACGCCGAGCTGTTACCTAAGCGCACAAGGAAAGGGTTAGCGTTTGTTCCAGCAAAAGAGAATTTCGCA